ATGATGGTGCTGAAGAAGCAGAATTCACTCCGAGCGTTCGTTTCAGAGTTGAAGTGTATTTGCCTATTCTGGACAAGCTGCATGCTAACGGAGCTCAACAAGCGTTTACAAGCCTATGCCAAGCTGTCGCATAAGTTTGGATTTCTTCACAATGTTTTGCATCTCGATGCCAAACAGCTCAAAGATGGAGCGGACAATTTGGTACAGCAATATCCAAATGACTTGGAGTTGGAGCCATCTCTCGCAGAAGAGCTGGTCCATTTTCGTGGATATTTCAAGGGAAAGAATGTACCTCGCAAGGAAGATGCGTTAGATGACCTTAGATGACTCAGATGAAGCCATAAGCGTTGAGCTTCAAATGTACCGTATTCTTGCAAAAAGAGAAATCCACGAAGTTTTCCAAACGTCGAAATTGCCTTGCGAATTTATTTGACATTAATGGTGAGCAATTGTTCAGGAGAACGGTCATTTTCGGCATTGAAACGCATCAAGAATGTGTTTAGGTTTACCATGACAGACCAGAAACTGAACAATCTATCTATAATGAGTATAGAGGCGGAGGTTTTACGCAAAATCGACTTCCATGATATTATTAAAGAGTTTGCATCTTGTAAATGCCGCAAATCAATTTTGTAAGGTTATTGATGTAATTCATGTAAATAACTATAAGAACTATAGCTAGTGTTGTTTAATAACTATCAAGCGGTCAAGCCCCGTATCATACACGGGTTTCATATTACCTGCTTTCACATTTTACTAAATTTAGTCTCTCTGTTTGGTAATTGGCTAATGGTAGGAGTAGGCCATGGGGCCAGCAAAAGCGAAATAGCATTTTCAAGATCTTAAATTTCCAACTAGTTGGGCGAATTATGCGACTCTGGACCCTGCTACGAGATGTGACACCATCCATAGCCGTAAGAATACCATCTCAAGGCCCGCGAATTTTACTTAGCCTACAGGCCCCGCAACTAGTAATCCGCCACTGCATCCTCGCCAGACGTTTGCAGCATAAGACAATCAGCTGATCGCAGGTAAAGTGACACCTGGTATGGTGTATCTTTGCCACAGTGTACTTCCGGACAAAGCGGAACAGTGTGCCTTGTCACTTCAGATACACCATCAACAGGGTCGGTTACATGTAGTAGAGTGGTGGTAGAGTCGGTTAGTGGCAGGCCAGGGCAAACATAAAGATTCCTGATCTCAGTTATCAGTGATGCAACTGATACATAAGTCACTGAGTGTTTATGTTCCAGGTAAATGTGGTGATTTTCTGGCAAAAACCAACCAAAAGCTGCAACAGTAAAGCCAAAACCAGAATCTACCTTCAGAGTGTAGAGTGGTAGTGCATGCTTGCCATCAAAATAATCTAAGCTGAATGTATTTTCATCAAACTTTCGAGACCAACCCGTCAATCCAAGCTTGGAAACCTTCGATTTCAAATCGTTTATGTCCTTATAAACTTTAGAAGGCACCAACTCTTTCTTTTCTATAATCCGCCTTGATGTCGAAGGCTTCGATTCTTCGTGCGATTTCTTGGGTAGATTTAT